GGAAAGCTTAGGGTTGTCTGGGGACACTTATTGACATCACCTGTGTTCTATACTCCAACCCTAAAATCCTCAGAAATATCAAATTTCAGGGGGTGGATAAATAGTTCTCCAAACATATGAGCTCTTTCAAGCTGTTTCAGACTTAAAATACTTCACTGTGTCCCAACTTTAACATTATTTAATTTCAATCCTTGCAAAGTGATTGGATCTTATCTTTGTCTATTTTTTCCTTGTTGATTCACTTATTCATTCTTTCACAATACCTTGTTTTTTTAAAAAAAAAAACTTTAGTTTTTTAAATACTTAAGTTTTTAAGATACTTAAAAGACTTAAGTTTAAAATACAAGACTTAAATTTTTTAGATACTCAATTTCTGACAGAATGAGAGGAATAGAAGAGGAGGAGAGAGACAGAGAGAAAGGATGAGAGAGACAGACAGAGACAGTGAAAAGGGGGGGGGGATGGAGAATGAGAAAATGATTATTTGTTCACAAATTTCCCAGTCTGGAATTCAGATATTGGTACGGTAGGGCTGTGAGGCTCAAAATAGCAAGGTATTTACTCTGCATTACTCCTCTCTACTTTCTTCTATGTTTTCTTTCTCAGACAGCCTCGGCCTAAGATATTTCTCTCAGGAACAATGGGTTTTCATTAATCTCAGAACTAGAATTTTAATAACTTTCTCCTTCCCACTAAATCCAGCAAAGTCCATGAGGTGTGATCTGTTCCTTAACTTTGCTTAGAGGCAAATGTCTACCCTTGGTTTAAAAATAGAACAAAATACATATACTACCTGGTCAAACTTACAGTCATCCCAGGAGCTAAAGGCAAAGTTAGTTGCACAGACTCAAAATAAAGATGTGATTTCTCTTTTAAAAATAATAATAGTAGCACTGTCTTCCAGTTGTTCATCGATTTGCTCCAGTGGACCCAGTAATGTCTCCATTTTGAGACTTGTTAATTAATTAATTTTAATTGATTCACCATGAGATAGTTACAAAGCTGTTCATGGTCGGGTTTCAGTCATACAACATTCCAACACTCATCCGTCCACCAGTGTACATTTCCTACACCAATGACCTGTTTCCCTCCCCCCCCCAACTGCTCCCCCCACCCAGCCTGCCTCTATAGCAGGTAATTGTCTTCTCTCTCTCTATCTGTCTCTCTCTCTCATTTTGGGCATTATATTATGGTTTGCCATGCATATACTGAGAGGTTAGAGATGTGACTTCTTGTGTAAAAACTAGATTGGGAAAAAATATGCAAATAAATTATAGAACGCACACCTCCTCTAAGTGAAAGTTTAAAAGAAACAAAAACTCTTTGATTTTTTGGTCTGTTGGTTCTTAGTTACAGGAGTTATTATAACCGCACCCAAGATCTATCTCTCCTGAAATTGCAATATTTACTTCAATCCAAAAGTTTTTTCATTTTACAAATGCTATTCTTAGAAAAGTCTTTGATGAGACTTTGAGATATCCTAACAGAGGAGGGGAAAATAGATTGTTCCTACCAGCACACTGAGCCCATACAATTGTCCAGAATCCAGTCTATGAATCTAAACAAAGTGACTTATCTTCCCACAGGAAATTAACTTGGGCAGTCTGCTTCTACCATAATTGGGAAGGAGAAAGTTCTTATGTAAAGCTCTCTCCTTTTTGACAGAATAGAATTGAAACATTACTGCTTCCTGGCAAAATTATACACTTGCAATAAACACAACTCAAGCATCAGAAGTTAGCTAAGATTTGTTTCTTCTTCATCCAGTGGATCCCAAGAGACATTCAATATCTTCCTGAGCTCTGAGTTCTCAGCATTTACATGCTACCTTGATGGTGTCTTTTGTTTTTCATTTTGTGGGAAGGCACCCACAATGGTACTTAGGATCACTTCTGGTAGTGTTTGGGAAACAGTATGTGGCACTGGCAATTGACCATGGGCAAAGCGCCTTTATTCCTGCCATGAAGATGCTTCTAATGCTTCTGAGCTCTGTGCCCCTTGTGGGTGCAGGGAAAACTCATACCTCTTCTTCCTGTTCCCACTGACACTATCGTTCCTGGCTTTCTTTGGCACTGGAATTCTGTAGCAAAGTTCTGGAACGTGCTTTCTTAGGAGCACTGGAAATAAAGCCTTGCTTACCTTTTATATTACCTTAAAACTCAGATTGCCTCAATATCATTGTTTTGAAGCTTATAATCATGCATTTGAGGTGTGTGTGTGTGTGTGTGTGTGTGTGTGTGTGTGTGTGTGTGTGTGTATTAGCGGGTTTGGGTGGTGAAGTGTAAATCGGGTTTTTTTCTTCTTTGGTTTTTGGATCATACCTGGCAGTGCTCAGGAGATCATGCGATGTTGAGGATCAAATTCATGCCTGCAATTTCCAAAGTATATATTCTAGTCCTTTGTGGAATTTCCTTGACCCATAGAACCCCAATTTCTCTTTTTTATAGAACCCTGATTTCTTGAGTATTCAAGAAATTCAAAGCAAACTTCTTGTGCTTTCAAAAGCTTAGTCATGCACTTAACTCTAGAAATCATCCAGTTTGCTTTTAGGCAAACTGCATAAGCTGTTTCCCAGGATAAATAAGTGGTAGGCAGCCGAACTATCCCATTCCAATAAATCTCAAGACTTGTTTGCAAGACTATGAAAAATACTCTTTCTCCCTCTACTGGTCATTTTTGGGAAAAAAGAGAGCATAAGGCTGGCAACCATTCTCCATTCTGAGAACTGCATGAGAGAATGTTTTAGAGAAAAATGATTCTTTATCAAAGAATTCTTTATCAAAGATTCTTTATCTTAGAGGACTCTGTAATATTTTAATATGCTCATCATATAAAATTCTTTTGAGGATGTGTATTATTTCTTAAATAAACAGGTCAATCCGTTTAGGTATTATTTGATTTTTTGAACTTGGAAGCAGTTAATTTCTTGCTAAAACACTGTCTCTGATGGCAACATCACTAACTGAATAAATATAGGCTCTTAGATTCGTTGTAGAAAAAAATCTTCACATCTTAACCTTGTACTTTAAAGACTTCGATTTTGTCTGATAGTCTTAAATTTTTAGATTCTGCCGAAATCTCAGACAGTTCATTCTAAAAGTTTTAGTACCTGAAAATTCTTTCTTCGGGGTTAAAATCATAAGTTTACTTTGTTAAAGTGAAAAGGAAGCTATGAGCACTCCTATAGAAATACCTTCACATGGCATCACAGGTGAAGATACAGAGAGGAATATGTTTAGAAGTCGAGCACGGACACACAAAAGAATCTCAAAACCGAGCAGCTCACTGCAGAGATGCCTCCAGACTTTGTGCCAGGCACTGAGGTACCTCGGACGGGACAGATGTTGTCCTTCCACCTGCCCCTTAGGGATCCTGGCGGCCACCATCTTCCAGAACCCAATGAAAAGCCCAGGTACTATGGATTAGTGATGGCAAACTCCAGGCATCAGGATGGGCCAGCCCTCCCCATCTCCCCGCCCCCATGGGACCCTGGCCTCTAGTGACTATTTAAGTTCATTAATGGCCGTTATTCAGAGACACACAAAAGAATCTTGGAACTCAGCTGCTTGCTGAAGAGATTTCTCCAGGCCCTAATTATCTAAAATTTTAGATTTCTAGGAGCTGTTATTCATAGAGGGTAATACAAGTAAATTTTCTAGCATCTGCCTGTTTGGCAGGTTTGAGTGGTGGTAGGAAATTCAAAATAAGGGTGGTGGAAAGGTGTGATGGTGGAGGGACTGGTGTCAAAATATTGAATGAAATCCACTATTGTGAACAAATTTGTGAAAATTTTTAAAAAAGGGAAAAAAAGAAGTTGACCACACATTTTGCCTAGTCGGGTACACTCAGTCAGACAGACAGGAGACCAGGGTTCTATCTGTGGGGCCTACCACGTAGTTTGGATGCATTTGGAGTTAATTGTATAGGATTGACTGTTAATGCTTATAAATTTGAATAATTTTTTTCATCATTTATGCCAATAAAGGAGACAGGTACACTTAAGTTTGCCAAGAATTTTTTAATCCATCAATTCTCCAAGAAGTTGTCCCATACCAATCTAAAGACACCAAGTTTAAAACATATTTTAAAACTATCATCAGTGAAGTTTTCTTCATTAATCTAATATTTTTGTATAGTAAGTAACAGTTTATTTTTAAGACCATGGTAGGAAAAATGTAGTAAATATCTTAGCAATATCATGGAGGAAGTATAGCTCTTTTAACTTATTTATGATAGGTCATGAGACGACGCAATCCTTCAATAACATGATGAGCTATTCTAAAAATTTACTTATATTTTTCAGAAAGACAAAAAATGAAGTAGATATCTCCCTTTGGAGCTTTCGTTTTCTAATCTCAACTAAAAAAGAATGATCAAATGACCTCCCGTATCTTCCTCCCTCAGATACTTTAAGAATAGCCATCTTGCGTTCGTAAGACAATTGTCAAGTTGAGCAAGTGTCTGTGTCACTTCTGTAAAACAGAATTACTGAATACATACAAGAAAACTGAACACAATTTATGTACCAAAAAAAAAAACTGAACACAATCTATATAATTTGATGTGTCTGAAGATATGCATAAGTGAATGCAAGTTTTTTATGATTGTGGGAAAGTGAGTCGCAGAGAAATGTGGGGAAATGAAAAGAGATAGCGGTGAGAACCAAAAGGGAAAAGATAGGACAGGACTATCATAGAAATGGAAGTGGAGAAGCTGGAAAAATCCAGGGACGGAACAAATACATGCCCAAGGAATATAGGTCTGCAGGATTAGAGAGAATAGATTGGAGGATTCAGATCTACATTGAAGCACTTATTTTTTTCTAGAGTAGACTAGAAATCTAAAATCTAAGACAATATGACTAATCACATCTGACCTGCAAGTTTCTTTATTATCACCTCTATTTTCTCTAATAATCTATCAAGTAGAAAATAAGCTGCAGCAGGGGGCTGGAGTGATATCACGGTGGGTAGGGCGTTTGCCTTGCATGCTGCTGACCTGGGTCCGATTCCCAGACTCCCATATGGTTCCCCGAGCACCGTCAGGAGTAACTCCTGAGTGCATGAGCCAGGAGTATCCCCTGTGTATCGCTGGGTGTGACCCAAGCACTGTAACACTGTTGTCCCGTTGTTCATTGATTTGCTTCAGCAGGCACCAGTTACACTTCCATTGTGAGACTTGTTGTTACTGTTTTTGGCATATCGAATATGCTGAGGGTAGCTTGCCAGGCTCTGCCCTGCGGGCAGGATACTCTAAGTAGCTTGCTAGGCTCTCCGAGAGGGACGGAGGAATCGAACCCGGCTCTGCCGCATGCAAGGCAAATGCCCTACCCACTGTGCTATGGCTCCAGCCCAGTGTGACCCAAAAAGAAAAAATAAAAGCTGCAACAAATGTGCACTATCCTCTTGCGGTTTCAACTGTGTAGGGAATGTGGCGAGACAGAGAGGGCTACGGCTGAGATTACAGTGAGTAGAGCTTAGAGAAGCAGGGTCGGCAGTAGGTCTTGCCGTTCTGTTCCTTGAAGATGCCCTTCGACAACTGTGTCAGGCAGAAAGCACACACAAAGTGCTCGGGATGGAACTTGTATCCCATGGCATTGATGCAGCGGCCGGTGACAGGTTTCCCACATCCGTGGCAGAGGGTCCCTTGGCGGAGGTGGTAGTGATGCTCACAGAAGGGACGTCCGTCCAGTTCGAAGAAGGAGCCAGTAGAAAAACTGCTGAAGCAGTCCTGGGGTGGAGAGAATATATGAGGAAAGTCGATGTGAAAAGGTAGGACAATGACAAAGCAAACTTCACAGCCTTAAAAATTCTCGCTGGGGAGGGATACTGGGATTAGTGGTGGTGGAGAATGGGCACTGGTGGAGGGATGGGTACTCGATCACTGTATAACTGAAACCCAAGCACAAAAATTTCTAAGTATACAACTGTACCTCATGGTACATGTACCTAATAAAAATTATTAGGTACATGTACCTAATAAAAATTTTTAAAAAATTCTCACGGGGAGCTGGAGCCATAGTACAGCAGGTAGAGTGCTTGCCTTGCATATGGCCAAGTCAGGTTTGATTCCCAGCACCCCATATAGTTCCCCGAGCACCACCAGGGGTAATTCCTGAGTGCAAAGCCAGGAGCAACCCTTGAGCATTGCCAGGTTTGACCCCAAAAGAAAAAAAATCTCGCTGGTTAACAACCAGCTGCAGGAATTCTCTTGGATCTTTGACAAAATGGACACCAGTTATAGCAGATGTCCACCGTGGTTACCACTTCTGTCACACAAAGTACACATCAGTTTCTCAGCCTATGCCATGAGGCCCTCTGACCAGTTGCAGTTCTGTTTCTCAGAGCGAAGCACCCTGACTTTCCCTCAAGTCCCAACATTCAATAATACAGACCCCACAGACGAAGCACTCTGGATGCCAGACTGCGTTCATGGCTGAAAGGTAGTTTTCCAACACTGGGCGGTTGCAGCCACCACACTTGGGAGAGAACATGGCTAAGAAATCCTTTCTGCAATATGGCTTTTTGTCTTTCTCGTGAAAACCTGCAACGATAAAATGAAGGATGAGTGGTTGCAGTTTAAGATCTTAATGTGAAGCTGGAAACTGAGACGAGGCAATAATCATTCCTAATACCAGTGCTCTCACATCCAAAATGAGGTTATTAACAGACAGGTGTTATAAAAATACATGAGATACTGCAGGTACAGTGGTTCACAGTAAGCATGACATGTAAGCATTCATTTTGATTTCCCCTCCATAACTTTGTAACAGGTATTCCTCTGGCCTGACTAGTTCTGCTCCAGGATTTAATATAGCCATCCTCGTCTTCTAATTCATAAATAAGTTATATTTCATCTTATCAGAGAAGTATCTCTTTGGCTGCATCTACTGTGTCATCCTTTTATTGTGCTTATAGCGTTTACCATTATCTACAATCACCTTTGTGATCTCTCTTCCCTCTTTGGAGCATAAGAGCTGAAAGAAAATAACATACTTTTTTTTTTCTTTTTGGGTCACACCCAGGGATGTTCAGGAGTTACACCTGGCTCTACACTCAGGAATTACTCCTGACAGTACTTGGGGTATCATATGGGTTGCTGGGGATTGAACTCAGGTGGGCCACATGCAAGGCAAATGCCCTACCCGCTGTACTATCACTCCAGCTCTTAAAATAACATACTTTTGGTCTTGAATCTCTTCTTTTTAAAGAAAAATAAAAAACCTGAAAGGAACCGCGTAACATTTCAAAATAAAGTACTCTTAAATTATAATTGCCAATAGATTCTTAGCATAATAGCCCAAACCACAGAAATACTAAATTGTAAACGGATGAATTTCTTTTTTTTTTCTTTTTGGGTCACACCTAGCTATGCTCAATCATTGTATAACTCCTGGTTCTACACTCAGGAATTACTCCTGTCAGTGCTTGGGGGACCCTATGGGATGCTGGGGATTGAACCTGGGTCAGTCGCTTGCAAGGCAAAAGCCCTACCCGCCGTGCTATTGCTTCGGCCCCTGGATTTCTTTTTAACATAGAAATGAGAAGACAGTAGGATATGGCCCAAATTTCAAAGTCAAGTTAAATATTGTAGTCAGTTATGTCAAAATATATGAGCACTTCTTTATCATCAAGAAACATGAGTAGCATCAGTAAACAGGGACTGAAGAGATAGAGAGCACAGCAGATGGGGTGCTTGCCTTGCATGCAGCTGACACAGACTCAATCCCCAGCACTCCATATGGTCCCCCAGGCCCCACCAGGAATGATCTCTGAGTACTGTGCTAAGAGTAAGACCTGAGCACAGTCAAGTGCCCCCTCCTGCCCCCTTCCAAAAAGAAAAAAAACAGGAATAATTGGTATTTATGTCTCAGAAAATATTAGCAATGCAGTGTTCCTAAAAGTATGTATTTTTTAATCATTAACGAAACTTTAAAATAAAATTAATACCAATTTTTTTTTCCTTTTGTGTCACACTCTGCGATGCTCAGGGGTTACTCCTGGCGCTGCATTCAGGAATTACTCCTAGAGGTGCTCAGAGTACCATACGAGATGCTGGGGATTGAACCTGGGTCAGTTGTGAGCAAGGCAAATGCCCTACCCACTATACTATTGCTCCGCCTCCCCCCATAAAAAGATTTTTTAACTGAACTGAGCTAAAAAAAATTAATTATTAAGTTGGTGATAAAGCCAATTAGAGAGTCAATAAACTATTTAGGTTGCCTTTAAAATACTGTATTTTGAATGCTAGTATTTTATCATTCCCAAATTAAAGGGGAATTCACCCATTCACAAATTAACATTTCTGATATTTGAAATACCAAATGAAATATGAGTTCATTATTTTTAAAATGGATTCTAAACTTTGTCCAATGACTATCCTAGAAACCATGATATCCTGAGAATGAATACTTTTAATTCTGGGAATGCACTCCCAGACTGTGTTCCCTACATATGATTTCTCAATGAGAGCGATCAGTTTACTTGAAGAAATGGATGGTTCCAAATATGGTATAAAATTGAAAAGGTAAGTCTGACATATGCCAAAGACATAAGAAAAGAGAGATTTGGGGAATCATGTCAAAAGAATGAAGTAACCAACTTTAAGGGAGTTATTAGTAGCCTCAGACCTGAACAGTATTTTTAAAATTATAATTTACATATGTATAAATATATAAATATTAATTAAATAGGGTAATTTTTAATATTTCATTAAGTTACAGGATCATAGGTTATAAATGAAAGCATCTGCAAGGTCCTTTTTTGAATTTATATACTAATATTATACATATTTAGTTAACTGATCCTCAGTTATTCAAGTGCGGTTCCCTCTGCTTATAAAATCACTTCCCCACGATATCCAGGATGGCTTAATCGTTCACTTAACTTAAAGAATAACTGATTCAGGGGCTGGAACAATAGCACAGCGGGTAGGGCGTTTGCCTTGCACGCTGCCGACCCAGGTTCGATTCCCAGCATCCCAAAGGGTCCCCTGAGCACCGCCAGGAGTAACTCCTGAGTGCAGAGCCAGGAGTAACCCCTGTGCATCGCCAGGTGTGACCCAAAAAGCAAAAAAAAAAAAAAAAAAAAAAGAATAACTGATCCAGTCCCCATAGATCAAAGAGTATCATCACTGTTTTCTTTCCTAATAAGCAGAGTAAGTTAGTTTGTTGACTATGTTGGTTATTATCTCCTTCGCTAGAATATGTGCACACAAGGGCAGAAATTTTGTTTTTGTCACTAAATCCCTAGTACCTAGCACACTAACACACACAGTAGTTGTTTGGTACATATTTTCTGTGAGAGCAGACGTGTGAACAATATTCCAGTACCAAACAGACCATCAGCCCTGGAAGTACAATGTTAAGAAGCAAGTTTAAAGTCTAGCTTCCAAAGCTGTGGATCTGGGTTTACATAACTGAATGTGGGGATCATCCCCAAACCTGCCAACAGTCAAATGTTTCTAAAGAACCTGGGAACAGATTTTCAGTAGGAATCATGGGGATAGTGGGGGGTGGGGGGCAGAAATGGACAGGGAAGAGAACACCACAACAGAGGCGAAGGGACTGTCGAACCTTTTGGTTTGACCAGAAGGAGGGGGTGGTGCAGAAAGGCGGTAAAAAGTTATGCAGGAAACTCTATCAGGAGCAATACTAAATCACAGTGCCAAAAGTTATTTTAAAAGTTTACATGTACACACTGGTGATTTTTTCTACAAGGAACTTGAGACACTTTGAGATTGTTTTTTTTCCTGGGAGGAACTTGGCTGCTTAAAATGAGGATGACTTCCCACCTCCTCCAGATGGAACCCTGGTGACCATGAGCCTCTACAAGCATAGCTTGAGTATACGGGAACCAGGACTTGGACTTTTCCTCCAAACTGCCGGGGCTGGCACAGCCCCCAGGTAACCTCTGATTCCGGAAGTCATGCCCACAACCCGCCCCCCCCAGTGCCATCTTTACAGCACACAGCCATAGAGAAGAAAGGCTGGGGGGGGGGCTCCACAGCTCCCGGGGCAGGGGGGCTCCACAGCTCCCAGAGAATGCACCAGGTCCCGAAGAGAGCTGAGATCACCAGGAAGTCCCAGATGGGGTAGGTGCCGCATCCCGCTTCCTCCAGATGGAACCCTGGTGACCATGAGCCTCTACAAGCATAGCTATAGTATGCGGGAACCAGGACTTTTACTCCAAACCACGCGGCCACTTACGCGGCCACACAACATCTCCCTACATGTAAGGTGATCAATGGAAAGTAAATCATCCAACGTTTCTCCCTGAAAACCAGGCTTAACTCTTATACAGGCCACAACACCCAATGGGAGAGAGAGAACAAAAGGGAATGCCCTGCCACAGAGGCAGGGTGGGATGGGGGATGGGGAGGTGGGGGGAGGGATACTGGGATCCGAGGTGGTTGGAAATGGTCACTGGTGGAGGGATGGGTATTCAAAATAAATTAATTAATTTTAAAAAAGATAATAAATAAATAAGTAAATAAAATGAGGATGACTATTAACCAATTCCATGTCTGCAGCACCTATTTTGTACTAGTACCAACCCACAGGGCTACCGTGAAATCCACCTCCTCACAGCAACCTACCCATTTAAGAAATGAGAAAGGGGAATAGAAAATAGATAAAACCAACTACTAGTCTGTGGTGGGGTTAAGATGCATATCTAAGCCTACCTTCATAGCCTACTTGGATGTCAAACTTAACGATACTGTGAGTCAATAACTACTGTAAAGAATGAAAGCTGGACTTAGCCTCACTGAAAGCGTGTGCAAGCAGAGCATGCATGGCGGATTGGAAGGCAGCCCCATTAGTTCCAGAAATCAATGTTGATAGCAGCAATCAGGTTTGTAAAAGGCAATAGGAGCAGCCAGGGCTTGGGACCCAGTTCAGGTTGCTCCACTAGTTTTTCATTATACTTTTTGATAGGCCTGACTTCTTTCATCTATGTTTTCTTTTCCACTCAGACAATTTAACGGACTTCGAAGGCTGGGATATCTGAGTCTAGCTACACTAAGAATTTTATAAACTAACCTGTGTTTGTCTAAACCCAGACACAGAAGAACTCGCTTTGCTTCTTTTCCCTTTATCCAAGAATTTCTGCTGCCTGATCAAGTGCAACGGAATGCAGGAAGGTCAAGTATTTAAGAACCAAAGGTCCATACCCACAACCATATTTCTTGCTTCTGGATAGCCCCGTATTTCTCAAACTTTCGGGTGTAAATGTCACCAAAACACTTGTCAATATGCAAATTGTTATTCCCTCTTCAGACTCAGAACGTCTGGGATGGAACAGTGGAATTTGTATTTCTGACCAGTCCTTAGGTGATGAATGCTGAAGCTTCATAAAGTGACACAAAACCAAGCTTGCCTATAACGAGGTGTTCCTTGAGAAAACCAGAGCACACACTGGCTGACCTTGCACTGAACCTCATCTAGGCCTTTGCAGGGTATCTGTTCTCAAGAATCAGACGGCAGGAAACTAACAGCCTCTGCTTCAACTAAGGTGAGTCTCAGGAGGGGAATCCAAAGCAAT